TATATATCTATATATCTATATATAGATATATATATAGATATATATCTCCAGTTTTTTTGTCTCTGCAGAAGGGAAAGCAAATTAAATTTTTAGCAAACTGTTTAACTTAGAATACTAAAACCAGATTTAAAAATGTTAATCTGCTACTTTCATTATTTTGAAGGAAAATATACACCTTCAAAATTCACAATATTTCCCAGTTTGGTTTTATGATTAACAAATTAAACAACTAAATTTTTTGTGAGACTAAACAAAACTTAAGAATTAACTAAAAACTAAATTAGGATAATCAAACTATAAACATACTAAGTAATCAAAACAATGAGAAAAGCCAGCAAGATTTCTAATCAATTATGTATTTTACTTTTGCATATTTTAATTCTGGACTTTTAGCAGAGTAAATTATTAAATAGGTTGGTTTCAGGGACTGTTTAAATTTTGTACATTACATTAGTATTTCAAAATATTGCCCTTTCTAAACCAAATCGGCAGTCCTAATCAACTTTTTTTTTTCAGGAAAATGGTTATCTTTTAAAGATACATTCCACATAGTAAAAGAAACATCTTAGTGTTTCAAAAGTATTTACAAAGAACCCTGCTGATCCGGTGCATTTCGCTGAGGTGCTACCTGCACCCAAACTTCATCATCGGAAAAAGAACTTGAGCTTCCTGACTCTGAGTCCAGCTCACTGAATCCATCCAAGTCCCATTCAGTACTAGACTCACTCCGTGCATCATCTTCCTCAGTGATGAAACTCTGACCAGGTTCAAGACAGGAAGGATAAACACGAGCACAGAGGCAAATAAAGCCAGAGTCAAACTGCAAAAGGCCTAGCATGGTACCTATATTAATCCACTGGTCTTCCCTGGTATCATATTCATACACTGTCACACGGTTCTTTTTCCACTGCGGGGTGGTAGATGTGATGAGCAGCAACTTTTGGTCGTGATTGACGATCTGGTAGTTGTGAGTCTCTGAATCCAGGGGAATATTACTTATCCGCCTCCATTCTCCCCTAGCTGGGTTGTAGACTTTCATGACGGGAATGTCACAGATACAGTAAATCTCATCTTTAAAGACACAGGCTTCCTGAAAGTCACTTCGTTTAAGAGACGCACAGTTAAGCCACATATTATGGCTAGGATCATAGCACAGCATGCGCTTACTGTTGACAGCATAAAGATAGTTCTGGACCACTATTAGTTCAAAGGAATAAAACGAATGGGGTACAGGAGCCACCAGTGCCCATTGGTTCCTCTGAACACTGTAGCATTCCACTTCCTTCAATTTAACTCCAGTAATAGGGTCTCGCCCACCCAAAATGTAAATGTAGCCATTCAGATAGGCTACATCCATGCCCTCACGACACAACAAGCGATCTGCCAGTTGCTGCCAACTATTTTGGGCTGGTTTGTACACCCAGAGGTCTTTCCTGGGCTGGGCAGCTAGATAGATGTCATGGTCTGGAGAGACACAAACAGCTGAGGAGGTGATAGTCTTAGTGTGTGCCAAGCTGGTCAAAGGTGAAGGCATCGTGTAAATGTCCCCGGAGTATGGGTCATAGCAGAGAAAAGGATCTCTGGGGTGTCCAAAGAAGATCACCATCTCCTTGGCACACATACCCAGCCTCTGGGGGGGATTTTCTGCCACTGAGACAACAGAGCTGCTGTTGTTATTGCTGCTGCCGCTGCCACTGCTGTTTGGCACTGGTGCCAGAGACTTGGACATCGTGTCACCATAGCGCATCTGCAGGGCCCCTTCAATGATGTCGCGGCAGTACTTCTTCACCACGGGCTTGGTGAGCAGCCCTTCCAGATAGTCCTGGTCTTCTGGGGCGAAGTGGGCCCAGCGCACACACTTGAGCACTTCTGCAGCGCTGGGCCCGCGCTCTTTGGGGGCGGCCTCCAGCCACTGCACGGCCACGTGGCACACGGTCCTCTCGCTCTCGATGTCCAGGCTGTCCAGGCGCAGGACGGCCAGCAGCTGCGCCAGGGTCAGGTCTGCCAGCGTCTCCTCCCGGATGGCGCCCATCCTGCTCAGCTGCTTGAAGTTGTGCGCGATGAAGGACTGGGCCTGCGAGCGCAGCTTGTGATGGTCGAAGGCGTCGGCGAACTTGAGGATGGCCGTGCAGTTGGCCAGGTCCAGCCGGCGGGCGAGGAAGGAGGCGCAGGCCTCGCGCACGTACTCCAGCTGCAGCATGTCGGACGCCGCGTACAGCCGCTGCACGTTGGCCTCGCTCAGCGACACGCGGCCCGTGTAGCAGTAGTCCACCAGCACCTCGAAGGACTCGGCGTCCACGTCGTGCATGGTCACGTTTGCCTGCTGGCTCTCGTACATGCCGCCCGTGAACATGCTCTTGAAGTAGGGGCACGCGGCGGCCAGCACGTTGCGGTTGCAGGAGAACAGGCGACCCGTGCCCGGCCCGCTGCCCGGCGTCACCACCTCAATGGTCACGTCGCACAGCAGGCGGGCGTCGTAGAAGGACTTGAGCTGCGCCAGCAGGGCTGCAGAATGCGCCGAGTCCTTCAGCTCCTCCGGGCCCGTGAAAAACGCCGACACCGACGGCTTGGACATCCTCTTGGGCCGCCTGCCGCCGCGGGGACTGGAGAGGCGGCGAGAGCGCGGGCCGTCTTCCCGGGACTGCATGCTGGACATGGCGGCGGGGCGCTGCGGCGAGAACGGCTGCAGCACCGGCTCCTCCTCACCCTTGGCTTCGCTCGCTGACGCTGAGGCGGCGGCGTCCCACAACAGACCACGGAGACCGCCGCACTGACTTAACTCGGCCCCACGCCGCAGTGCCGCCTCCCTTTATCGCGTAGACAGTGCCTGACTCACCGTTCACGTTCCGCGCCCTTTCTCCGCCTCGGCTCGCCCCACTTGACCGCCAGCTGCAGCCTCGAGAGCCGCCACTGCCGCGCTGGCGATACCAGTAGGCGCCCCGGCGAACTACCGCTCCCAGGTTGCCTTTCGTGCCTCGAGGCATGATGGGGCCGCCCAAATTTCCGGACGTAGACGGGCGAGTGGGCGCCGCTTTGCATGCTGGGAGTTATAGTTCCTGTAATGGAGCGAGGTTTCCTATGGTTGAAAACTTTTAACAGAATCGGAAAACGTTAATTCCCCAGGAGTTGATGGTTAAAAGGTTTGGCTTTGAAGTCCAGAGTAGAAGCTCCGTTTTGTTCGTCATTGTGTGACTTCTCTCTGTAAATTTTTCCTTTTTTGTAAAGTGGTAATAACAATTTTTACTGGTTTGTGTGAAGATTGAATGATATTTATTAACATAGGCTACTTTAATATTGTTATTAGAAGACTCAGAAAGCGCTAGACCATGACTAGAGTATCAAGTCAATAATTGTCAGCTTATTTATTAATTTATTTGGCGGTACCGGGGTTTGAACTTTCTACCACACCCCTAAATCTTTGTGCTTTTAGTTAGTGTTGAAATAGGGTCTCACGTTATGCCCTGAGGCCTGGACCACGATACCCCTATTTAGGTTTCCCGCTCAGCCGAGATGATTGCGTGGGTCAGCATGTCAAGGTTTGATTGGTCATGACTGAGTCTCAGGAATTTCTTGCTTGGCTGGCCTTAAACTGCAATACTACCTATCTTTGCCTCCAGGGTAGCTGGGATTACACTATGAGCCACCTTGCCTGATTTGCATTTGTGAAAACTGAGGCATCCAGTGGTTTGAAATCATGAGCCTTAATATTAAAAACCCTTCAGATTTCTCTAAATAACTTACAGTTTTTAAATTTGTTCTTTGGAGAGTTTCTAAAGGGCATTAACCATATCTTAAATGTGAATCGAGATTTGTAGTTTCATTAGGAAGTCTTAGAGGACTAAGTAGAGGTCCTAGAAAAGAATAATAATGAATGGTCTCAAGTATGCAAATCAGGCATAGAAAAACTTGTGGTTTAGTTTTTTCACTAAGTGAAAAGTTTATCTCTGGGGAGCAAGAGTATATTCAGTGAGATTTTATTTGGAATGTTTTCACGTTGTCTAATACAGGTCCTTTCACTCCCATTCCACAAATCAGTTGAAGGTTCTGCAGTTGTCAATATAAGTACTTTTAGTGAGAATTTTTAATCAAAATATTTCATCAAAACAAATTGGATGTCAGTGGCTCATGCCTACAATCCTAGCTACTTGGGAGGCTGAGATCAGGAGGATCAAGGTTCAAGGCCAGCCAGGGCAGATCTCCAAAATAACCAGAGCAAAATGGGCTGCAGGTGTGGCTCAAGGTTAGTGTACTTGCTTTGCAAGCATGAAGTCCTGAGTTCCAGCCCCAATCTCACAATCAATGAATCCATAAATTGCTAGGCAGAAAATTATTTCAACAAAAATACTATAAAAAACACATAATTCCTGGAGTTCACCATCCATATATATTCTAACATTTCTTGAATTAATATGGTACAATCTATGCTTTATAAAATTATTTTTATATGTATTAATATTATTAGTTAAGCCAGGTGGAAGCCCACACCTGTAATCCTATACACAGGAGACAGAGATCAAGATACTGCGTGCTGGTGTGAAATGTTGTAGGCCGGTGTCTAGGGTTCTTGCCTTCACAGGCCAGAGAACTGGCTTGTGAGGCAGCTGATTGACTAGTGAGACAAGGCAGGTACACAAAGTAAGATTTATTAGAGAGAAAGGAAAGGCTACAGCTAGAGCAATGCAGTGGAACCCAGAAACCAGTGGCTCCCTGCTGAGGTGAAGGCTGGGGCTTTTTATGGATGCTTTAACTCTGGGTTAGGGTAAGGGTTATGTGGGTTTTTTCCATTGGCCATGGATTTGCGTGCACAGGCTCTCTTCGATGAGCTGGTCTGTTTGCCCCTTACAGTGGGGAAACAACCTTGAGAGCATTCTGTTTATCAGCCCTGTGTCAGATTTATGAGACCCTGTGTCTCCTCCTCAGGGTGTAGGAATGCAGATTTGTAACTCCTTCTCAGAGTGCAGGGCTCATAGTGCTCTCCATGGGGGATGGAGTACTCATTTATCTGTCCTTTAGGTTCCCAGACCCAACAAGGAGGATCGTGTTTCAAAGTCCTGGCTAATAGTTTGTGAGACCCTATCTTGAAAAAACCCATCACAAAAAAAGGGCTGGTGGAGTGGCTCAAGGTATAGGCCCTGATTTCAAGCCCTCCTACCACAAAAAAATTATTCAATTTTCAAGATCAAGTACTTAGAGGTTGATTTTTAAAGCAAACTTCAAATATAAGAGAGACTTAGTAGACATTATCAGTAACACTGATTGTTTTCTTACCAACACTGAACCCTATTCAAGTATTCAAGGGAAAGAAAAATTTAAGAATGTTAACAAATTGGTAAAATATACACCATTAACATTTATTTTTAAATTTTTAAGTATATATATGTATATATACATATATATATACATATGTAAAGTACATTTAAATTATTTTATAATCATCACTATCATAAATTTTCAGGACTTTCCATCTTGCAAAACTCATTAAATAACACCCCATTCTCCCAACTTCTGCCATCACCATTCTACTTTCTGTCCCTATGACTTTGACTACTTTTGGTACCTTACATAAATTCAGTGATTTTTAACTACTTTATATCTGTCCTTACTGTTATTTGGTTTAGATTAATCTTTCACAGGACCCCAAATATTTGTTAGATATGGTACCCTCATATCCCATAGAATTTTCTGTCATTTGCAAATATTTCAGATCAGTGATGATTGATACAGTAGTGAGAAGCCTTGAATATTTGAAATGTGGCTGGTACAACTGAGAAACCAAATTTTAAATTTTAAAAATGCACCATTAATCTCAACCACTGTAATACAATGCAATGGAGAAAGGAAAGTCTTTTCAACAAATGACTTTGGAACAACTAGATTAGAATGTAAGACAAAAATTAACCTTGTTCCCTTCCTTAGACACTAAGAAAAAATTAATTCAAAATGGAACCTAATATTAAATGGAAGAGCATAAACTATAAAGCTTCTATAATAAAAGAAGACTATCTTCATGGTTTGGGGGTTGACAAAGATTCCTTAGGACAAAAAAAACAATAACTAAAAGAAAAAAAAAGTTTACTTCAACACAATTCTAAGCGTCTGCTCATTATAAACAGTGAAAACAAAACAAAAAAAAGGAAACTGGGGAAAATATCTGATGGCTAATAAACATGAAAAGATGATCAGTGTCATTTGCCATGAGTGAATGCAAATGAGGGAACAGCACACCAACCAGAATGACTAAACTTAAAAAAAAAATACTAAATATTGATGATGGTATGGTGCCATTAGGACCCTTGTATATTTTAAATGTAAATATAAGTTGGTATATCTACATTAGAAAGCTCTTGATAGTTTCTTTTAATCACCTGGTAAGTTCATTCCTAGGCCTAAGGGTAATGGAAACATATATCCGTAAAAACACTTGTATTAGAATTTTCATAATAGCTTTATTCACAGTAGCCAAAAACAGCAAACAACTTACATGTACATCAACAATATAAAAAAGTAGTGTATTTCAGCAGTGTAATACTACTCAAAAATAAAAAGAAACAACCTCTGATGCATGTAATATTGTAAACAATTCTCAAAATTTTTATGTTGACTGAAAGAAGGCAGAGAAATAAGAGTTCCTACTGGCTGTGTGCTGGTGACTCACAACTGTAATCCTTGCTACTCAGGAGGCAGAGATCAGGAATATAATATTGAGTTCAAGTTCAGCCTGGGCAAAAATTGAGACCCTATTGCAAAAATTTGCACCACAAAAAAGGGCTGGTGCAATGGCTCAAGTTGTAGAGCATCTGCCTAGCAAGTGGGTAAGTCCTGTGTTCAAACCCCAGTAGTGCCGTCCCCCAAAAAAACAAACCATACTGTATAGACATTTATGTGAAGTTTCAGAGCAGTGAATATAAACTTTGGTGAATAAAAACCATAATGACAGCTGCCAGCATTGGGTGAGGGGCTTTTTGCTAGAAAGAAACATGAAGAAACTTTGAGAGGTGAAGCAAATTTTTTTTTATAATTTGGGGCAGGTGGTTACACAGGTGAATGCAGTTACCAAATTAATGAGCAGTATTCCTCAGATCCGTGCATTCATGTGCTCTGAATTAAAATTCTCTTAGAAGGAGCTCCTTCATAATTGCTGACACCAAACAAGTTTGCAAAACACTTTTGTAAGAAATCATCGTTGTTAGGAAAAACGCTGCTCACAAAGAAAGCTCACAAGAAAAGTCTCATGTCCATAGAGCAAAGTTTAATTGCAGGCCCAAACTGCCAGGCTGGCTGGGAAAAAGATGGCACAGCAGCGATTCTGGGCCAGGCTTGGCTTTTATAGAAGGGGGAGGTTAAGGAAATTAGTGCATGTGTGGTAGTCTCTGGTAGGGATGGGGCTGTCTTAGAGTGTGGGTATTTCTGTTAAGGGCAGGGCTGTCCTTGGAAGTTTCTCAAGTGAGGCCTGAGGATAAAATGGCTGCTGATTTTTAAATGGTGACATTTTGTTTTATCGTTCCCCCATTTTTTCTTTAATAATGATGAGGGTAGGGGCTGAGGATCAGGAATTGGGGCAAAGCAGTGGTCTCTTTAGCTGCTTCCTGCTGGCAGGGGGTGTTTTATGGGGTAAGATCCTCAGATTCCTGTGGTGTCCTGGTAGGTTGATATCCCTGGAGTTACAACTGGTTAAACTTTTGATTAGCAATAGCAGACATGTAGTATGATACAAGGGAAGAAACTTAAGAATAGGAGAGCAAGAACATAGGCATTAGGATGGGCATTAGCCAGGAGAACCACTGTGAAATCTTGTTCCCTAGACAATTTCAAGTGTCTTCCAATTCTCTTCTCCGTTATCACCTTTTGGGACCTCCTGCAGTCCATCCTTCAATCCTTCACAAACATAAGTGGAACTATCATACACTGGACAAAGAGTCAGATTGACATCAAAAGCAACATGTAACTTAAAC